TATATATATATATATATATATATATATATATATATATATATATATATATTCTTTTTTTTTTGAAAAAAAAGTTTTTATTATTTTTTTATAATCAAACAAATTACATTTTCACTTGTCTAATTAAACATTTGTAAACCCAACCTTCCACCCCACCTTCCCACCCCCTCCCCCGACTTCCCAGAAGAAAAACAGGGTATAAATTTTACCAAACATACGCTAAAATATGCTAAATTAATACAAGACTTAAAGCTCCCTAGACCCCTTAACTCCCCTTCTACAGATTATTCATCAACCTTCCTTTAAACTCAAAATAACATATAATCCTTTAACCTTAAGAGTTTTAAAAACATTAACAAACATTAATAGATCATTCAAAGCCTAAAAATCTCGTAATAAATCTATAAGATATTCTTAGTTCATTTACTTAATCATTTTACTCTCCCTCCTACTTTTATTCTCAAAATTCAAATATTTTTTTTAAAATCTTAAACCTTTATTAATCATTAATTGAGTTCTTAATTCATTTACTTAATCATTGTGATTAATCATTAATACATCAATTGTTAGACCAAAGAAAGTTAATCTTCCATTCTTCCTTGCTTCCTGTATTTTTTCCAGTCTTTCTTCCTCCCTCTTACTTTTATTTTGAGGAGATTTTGAATTTTAACTGGGGGTTGATGTGTCTTTAAAACTTGTCCCTTTCTTGGAACCATTTCCTCTGATTTGGAGCCCCCATATCGACTCTTCTTGCTTATATAATCAGTCAGTTCATAGAACGAAGAGTTAACTTGATCAGTTTGCAAAGAAAAGTCCAGTTGTTGCATTTCAATTAATTGTGTGAAAGCCTCTGCCAAATCTCCTTTGTCCTCCGAAACCTCTTGGGGCTGGTCATTTTCTTCTTCTTTCTGCTCCAAATTATATTTTTGAAAAGTTCTGTCAGTTAATTCCAGAAGGGCAGGAAGAAAGTTTGAAGATTCTTGAGAGCCAGCCGGTTCCAGCTTCTCTGTTTTAGTCAAAATGTCTCCTGCATTGTCATTGTGCTTTCCTTCATAAACATCCTCATTTGCTTTTATATCCTCCACCAGTTCTATAGATTTTCATTCCATGATTGCTGTTAAGTTATTAATAATTACAATTTGGTTATTCATGGCTTCCTTTATAAATTCTGTAAGGTCTCTAAAAAAGTCCTCCTGGCTCTGTGAATCAGTTCTCTGTGTCATTTCTGATGCCATTAAAGAGCCTCCACCACTTTCAGGAACTTCTTGCTTGGAAGCCATATTATTTTAAAAGAATTTTTCTTTTCAAAGCCATAAAATCTCTTGAGCAGCTTTCTCAGATTTATTTGTAATTTATCAAGCAAGATAGTCTTTTCTACACCCAGCTCTCAAATCTCAGCAGCTTAAATCCAGTCTCTGAGCACAAATCTGTTAACAAGCACTTAACTTTCACTTTTCCGTCCACAATGAAGACGCCATTTCCACCTCCAGCTCAGCAAAATCAAGTAGAAACAATGTATCCCAGGAGTTACGCATCATACTTGCAAAAGCTTGTTCTCCTGCTTCCATTCTGTCTGCTTTTGGAATCAGTTAATCTCCTTGTTGACAGCAGAGTCGGTCGCCGGCGTCTGGCTCTGTTTAAACGGAGTCGCCACGGATCCGGAGCTTCAGTGGGCTGAACGGGGAGCTCTCACCCTCCAAGCCCCTGGAATTGCTCCAGGGGCTTCCGGGGAGCTCTACCCTCGCCCACCGGCTCTCCTTTCCTTCTTCTCCTGAAGGAGAGGTTTTCAAGCCATCTGACAGCTGATTAGCGCTGTCTGAACGGCTCCAACGGAATCGCGGGGCTGGCAGTCCTAAAAGACCGTCCACGACGCCGGCGGTGCCAACCGGAAGCCCCAAATTATATATTTTCTTACAAACATTTTAACACGTATTAAAATAATCACTTCAAAACTTTACTTAAAATTCAAAACATCAAATATATTATAATAATATGTAAAATATTAAATTACATTTTATTTTGCTGTCGTGTGTATTTTTTATTTGACTGCGCAGCTTTGATCAATTCTTTGTGTTTAAGGAATAATTCTTTAATTTCAGTACAACGTTGAGAAATATTAAAAATTATACAAAGTTCACTTCAAACTGATAGTACAAGCAGTTGGTTACATTCGTCAGTCCACAAATTTCCCATGATGCTGAAAATTTGTTCAACATTTGCATTTGATACCGGAATTGATGCACAATACTGGAACAGTTTCAGCTTCAGTTTGTCGGGAACAAACACTGAGTTTGTCATGTTAACTGCTTTATCTTTTTTTAAAATCAAGTTTTATTGATTTCCACCACCACCACCACCACCACCCACATTCACCCACATATTTTATGAACAGAATATTGGCTATATCATAACTTATACAATTTATCTTACTCGAATACATTTTACTCAATTACAATTTTTGCCATAATCTTCTTTTTCCACTTTTTGATCATATCTTAAAATTTCTATGCTTATTTGTATAAACAACATCTTTATTTGCCCTCAAATTCTAATTTCTCTGTTTTTACTCATATTTATTCTCTTTTATTTTTTAACAATTCATTCTTTATCCTAGTGAATTAATATTTGTTCGGGGTTGCCTTTCTTCCATTTCATCTTTTTTATTGCACAGCAATCTTTCTTCTCAACCTCTTCCATCTCTCTCCCTTCTTTCTTTCCTACCTTCTTCTTCCCTCCTCTCCTACTCCTTCTCTACTTTTCCTTCCTTTCTCCCTCTCCTCCTCTCTTTCTCCCTATCTAGCCCTCTCTCCTACTCTTATTTCCCCTCCCTCCCTTCCTCCCCTCTTTCCTTTCTTCCCCTTCCTCTTTCTCCTTCTCCCTCCCTTCCATCCCTCTACTCCTTTTTCGTCTCTCTCTATTGCTGTGTTCATTTTCAGTTTGCTATTTTCCACTATGGTGTCCAGGCAACCCTGACTTTTCTTTAACTATATTTCTCAAAATTCCCCTTATCTTTTAATTATTAACAATGTATTTCAATTTATTTTTATCTTAAATGCTTTGCTAGAATAGCCTTCCAACCCTTAATCTGTTTTACTTTTAATGATATCTTTCTTCTATTTTACTTCTTACATATATTGCTTTATTCTTACTTACATCATTTACTAACATTTCAATTTTATTCACTTTTACATTTCAGTTTTCCACCTTAATTTCAATTACATTTTTGGTTACTATTATTTCTCTCAAGTTTGTACATCCTCCAACAACAAGACATATAATCCATTCTTGTCTTTCACATTGCATCTACTGATCTATTTTACATTAAATAGCATATTTCTTCTTTTTTACTTACTCACATTTCATTTTATCCTTAAATATATCCCTTTTACAATAATCTATCTCTTCCTTCTATCCATTTTTATTCTGTCACTGTTAATCCCAGTATAATCATCTTTTTTATTCTGTCACTGTTAATCTCAGTGTAATCATTTTTTTTATTCTGTCACTGTTAATCCCAGTGTAATCTTCTTTTTTATTCTGTCACTATTAATCCCAGTATATCTCTTATTTTATCTTTTGAAACATCTCCCTTTAATATCTCATACTCATCCTCCCAATTCTCCATGTTATCAATTTAAAAGGCATTTTAAATTTATTATTTTCCTTTGCATATAATTCAAATTCAAAGTCCACGTAATGTCTCTTTTTTCTTTCTTTTTTTTCTTTCCAGATAGTGTCCAATTCAGATGTTCATTTGAGTCATTCCAATTTTAGTCTTTGTTCTTTCCACTCCTCTTGAAATCTCATTCCAGTTGTTTAAACAAACCACTCCTACAGTACTTTCTCATGGTAATTTAAATAAGCTTGGTACGATACTTTCTTTCCACCAGCAGATGTCTCTCTCCAATTTACAAATCCTCCAGCCACAAAGTATCCATTTGTAAGTCCACAAAAATGATTATTTCCTCTTCTCAAAATTAAATTGTTTTGATGTTTAGAGAATACTTCTCTATCTCCTTTTTTCTTATCTTGTTTTAATTTCTTCCAAATCCAGTTTTAAATCCAGGTGAAAGGTTCCTTTTGGGGCTTTAGTTTTAATTTTAAAGTTCCTCTTTTTTTTTTCTCAATGGATATGCTGAAAGTATTTTGGTAGCTCTTTTCTTAAGTTTGCCTTGTTTAGATCTCCCAAAATAATGGCCAGTGAACTAGGGTTATGGAGGCTTCAGCCTCCATAATTTGGTCAGCTAGAGTTTGTAATGCCTTGTTTACACAGGCTTGTGGTGGGACATAAACAACAATTTGAAGAAATAAGGAAAATTCATGAGGTGGTTTGCAGTTGATAACTAATGTCTCTAGGTTTTTGTCACAGAATTTATATATTATAGTTATATCCTGAGACCAGCTGTTGTTGATATATAAGCATAAGCCTCCTCCCTTCTTTTTTACCAGATGTTTCTGCAATTTTGTCTGATCATTGAATCTGAAATCCTGGGATATGCAGGCTGCCTTCTTCAACTGATTCATTTAACCAGGTTTCAGAGAAACATAGGGCTGCTGAATTGTAAAAGTCAGAATTGTATCTCTTTAAAAGGAGTATTTCATCCATCTTATTAGCAAGTGAACATATGTTGGTTAGGAAAATTGAAGGCAGAGGAATTTTATTTCTCCTATTCCTTAATCTTTTAAAAATTCCCGCCCTTTTACCTCTCTTTCTTCACTTCTAATAAGAAATCTGTAATGAGTCACAGAGAATAATTAAAAATAAAGAAACCATAATAATAAATTTTAAACTTTCACCGAGGCAGCCTTTGGCTGTGCCATCTTGGAAGTACGTTTGAATTGGATTATTTTCAGCCAAAGGCTGTTACAGATTTTTGGGTGAGATTTTCTCCAGACCGGAGAGTCAATTGGAGCTTGGGGAAAAGGTTAGAGCTAATAAAGGGACTCATACTTATTCTCTGGCTTTGTTGCCTTTGTGCCATGCCCTGGGACATCACACTCACCTTTGGAATGTGATAACCCCTCATCTTCACATCCTTTGTACTTTGTCTGGGAAACCCAACTAGCAAAACACTTTTGAAACGCTGCATTTCATGAATCACGGCATTGGTATAGGGCAGCTTATTCCGATCCTGGTAGGAAATTGACCGCGAGAAGCCAAAAACATCTTCAATCTCTTTCTGGACTTTCTCTAGAAAAAAAATGATGGAAAAAGAATCTTCAATATTTATTCATATATTTATTTCTGAATTTTAATCCTTGGGATATAGGACAGCCTTTATGGCATTAAATGCAATCTCATCCTCCTTTTGTGTGTCATGAAGGAGAGCAGATTAAAAATGTGCTACAGAGCCCTGTGACTCAAAGAGGCAACTGTGGGCTGGATCTCTCACTCCCTATCACCACCAATTGGGATGGGTGTTGAAGAAAGGAACTGAACCAGCACAACACTGTGCATTCAGCCCCAATTCCCACAGCTACCATGGTCAATCACATCAAAAGCTGGCTAGTCATACAGACTCACCCAACCATTCAATGGATAAGGGGGAGGAAGAACACGCCCATAGCACTAACTGTAGTTCTCAGTGCAAATGGGAATTTTCACTCTCCACAATCTCCAAACACACTCAATTTATTCCCAGCCAACCAGAGAGGGAACTCACCCTTCTTGCCTCAGACTGGGCAAAAGGGTAGAAACATACAATAGCCAAGCACTCAGATGACCCTTATGTTCTCTCACTCTAGGCATCAACCCACTATCATCTTGGGATCCTTGTACTCCTGTGTCCTCCCACATCCCCCATCAGCTTCTCCCAGTCAGTCCTAGAGGCCTCTTGTAACCAATATTGCTCTTCAGAGCATCTGGATTTGTCCTTCAAGTTGTCAAAGATTACCAGGTTGAGCACAAGGGCAGGGTCAAATGAATAATCAGTCTTGAGTTCCTGCTGGAATTCCAAAATTTTCAGACTCAGGCTGGCCTCAAATCCTGACCACCAGCTCCATTGGGCTTTCTGCTGAGGGCTCCAGATCCAACTCTATTTTCTGGGCCTTGCATCATTTTTCCAGTCTCTGATCCAGACCACACATTTTATGGCCAAGATTTTCTGGGCTCTGGGCCAGTTCTTGCTTCCAGCTCCCAGCAACCTTGTTGACTTTCTAAGCTAGCTCCAGTTTCTATTCCAAGCCAGCTCATCACTATCTCTCGGCCAGCCATTTGCCTTCAGTATACACTCTCTATCATAGTATCACAGCCTCCAGGCCTGTAACTCCTTCATATTCACTCCGGGCTGGCTCTTCACCTCTTGATAGTCATCACCCTGGCTGCATCCTTCAACACTGTTGCTGCTGATGCTAGGTTGGCTCCGCCCTTTCTGCTGCCAATTTGTGGGCAGGAGACTAGGTTGGCTGGCAAGGCCAAAACCAGCCTTGGCTGGTTCCCAATCCTGGGCCATTCCTTTGTGTAGGCTCCAACCTTTTTTGGTCTCCTGTCTTCACTACACCTTCAATCCCTTTGCTGCAGCCATCCCACTTTGGTCTCTCCAACCTTCAGTTAAGTAGCTGAAGTCAAGAAAACGCAATAGTAGGGCAGGAAGAAGGTTGAGTTAAGGAGAAGATGGAGGAGTTCATTTGATGCCCCAAGTGGCAAAGAATATTCCACAATATTCTCATTCTTTATCTCCATAGCAGGGAGCCTTGTATCATACATCTGCTCATGCCCACCATTTTGATTTTTTTTCTGTGTTTATCATCTTACTGAATTTGGTCTTGTATACACAAATAGGGATGTGGTAGCTCAGAGCTTGTCGATCAGAAAGGTCAGCAGTTCAGTGGTTCGAATCCCTAGTGCTGCGTAACAGGGTGAGCTCCCATGATTGTCCCAGCTTCTGCCAACCTAGCAGTTCGAAAGCACATAAAAAATGCAAGTAGAAAAATAGGGGCCACCTTTGGTGGGAAGGTAACAGTGTTCTGTGCACCTTTGGTGTTTAGTCATGCCGGCCACATGACCACAGAGATGTCTTCAGACAGCGCTGGCTCTTCGGCTTTGAAACAGAGATGAGCACCGCCCCCTAGATTTGGGAACGACTAGCATATATGTGCGAGAGGAACCTTTACCTTTACCTTTTATACACAATTTAGGCCAGAAACAAGTAACAACTCTGAAAACCTTAGTAGATTTCTGCATTTAAAGTATGTTAAATGTTTTAGATCTATACTGATGTTCATCACTCAATATTTTATTGAGAATCCAAAGAAGAATATACTGTATATGTGCATTCTTGGTTTTTCTTTAAACCCGCTCATACTCTGTTCCTACTCTGTTTAAAGGGTAAAGAAAATACATAGGAAAATTATTATGAAGAGTATTTTCAAATAATTCCTCTGTATTTTATGAGAAAGACCCTTGTTCACACAGCTCAGATTTCTCTCACCTTGGATGTTAGGATGATTTGTCAGGAGAAGCAGTGCCCACTTCATAATAGCAAAGGCTGTGTCTGTTCCAGCAGAAAAAAAATCAAAAATACACTGAGCCAGGTTCTCTTCATTGTAGGTAGAGTTGGGGTCATTCCTGCTCTGATGTTTAAAACAGAAAATGAAAATTACAAGGAATTCTCTGCAGATTTTTTGTGATTATTTTTCCCTATGTGCCACAAGTCATTAAAATAAATATATTCCTATGGTTATATAGGGAAATTATTGCAGGAGAGTAACAATTAAAGTGATAGGTTCACACTATGACACTATCTTAAAGTAGCCAAGATCAAAGAGAGATTTGGCTTTGGAAGGAATGAAATTCATTTCCTTTTATTTTATGGTTGGGCCAGTATTAAGACTGTATACCTTGAATGTGGAGATCAGACTAATGGTACACCCCACACTGATGCCATATAATTGTAAATAAGGTGACCTGCTAATTTTTAAATAACTTTAAATTGATAAAATGTTGCTTCTAAAAAAATCAATGTTTTTCTGGAAACATTAGAGAGGAGGAAGAAAAAAAGGGAAATGAGTGGAGGGCAAACAAGACAGGATGACAAACATGAATTTCTATTTCCGTACACAAATTGTTATCCATATCTAACAAGAATCTAAGATTGCAGAGGTAGAATATAGTTCTTATTCATTTAGAAACAATCTGAAATTAGCAGGAGCTAAATTTAGATTAGGAGTTGCATGAAGAAAGAAGAAAAATACAACAAAGACAATCTCAGTAGCCCCTCCTCTTTTCTTATAGAGAGGAATATAATAATTCCTTGCCCTTGTATTGAACCAGAATAAATCCATACCTTCTCCATCTGAAGAAGATAGTAATCAATGAAATCCTGTGGCTCATGCAAAGAGCGGGATTCCTTGTGTCTCTCTATTTCCTGCTTTGCAAAAGAAACAATCAAATCCACAGAATCCAGGGCCTGCTTGTGGGGGCCTGGGAGGTAGCTCATTAATTGTGGGAACACATTATACATCTAATAGAAAAGAAAGAGGAAAAGTTATTTATTTATGTAAGTATAGACTCTTGAAATGTGTTATTTCAAAAAGAACCTTTTATTGGGAGGAAGTGATAGCAGGACAAGGCGAAGCAGACTCTAAATTCCCTTCCAAACTATACAGTTAGAAATAGGACTTTAGAATCCCTCCCTCCAGTCCGAAGTGGATTCAGCCAATCCACAGGTGTGAAGATGTTATTGTAACAGCCATCCTGAGAAACAAATAAGGAGCTGTTCCCATGGTCTTCTTCCACTTTCAACAAACTGAAACAATCAACATGGCCCTCCCTCCTTATTACATTCCAAAAAAGGTGAGAATACTGCAGGTGCTTAGGTGACAGGAAAAAGGTTATAAAATACAGCTTATCTCCATGCTCCCCTCTCCCTCTATTTGAATGGAAGTATCACGTTAGCGATCTGACCATTTATTTCCCACCATAATTATAGAAGAGTCTCAGCGGCTCACTGTAATAGGCAGCACTTTACAGCCAAACAAAAATATTACAAACACATTAAAATATGGCAAACAATACATGGTGTCAGACCTCAAAAGCCATCCAGAAAAGCTCTGTTTCCAAATTCTTGCAGGGCAAAATTGCTGGGAGGTGGAGGCAGAGGCAGATTTCTTTTTCTTGTTTTCCTCACCAAAAAAGGTAAGTGCGTCTTATAGTCCGGAGCGTTTTATACTCCGAAAAATATGGTACATGGCTTGGAGTTCCACAGTCTTCTAGCTTGTGAACTAGTGTGTTTGAATTAGCACCTCAGGATAATCTTTTGGCTCAAAAATGGGAATCCCTACTCAGAGAAATTCATATCTCTACCCCAGACCACCCCAATGATGCCCTCGAGGTGATGTCCTGGTGCCTGGAGGCCATACGGATTGGATGGGGATCTGGATGGGGAGGAACAGACTCAGGCTCAACCCATCCAAGACCGAGTGGCTGTGGTTTCCGACGTCCCGATATAGTCAGTTGACACCATCACTGACTATTGGGGGTGAGTCGTTGGCCCCCACAGATGGGGTTTGCAACTTGGGCATCCTCCTGGATTCATGGCTGTCTTTAGAAGAGCATATGGTGGCCGTGGCCAGGAGGACTTTTTATCAGGTTCGCCTGATTTGCCAGTTGCGTCCCTTTCTGGATCGGGACTCGTTACGCACGCTCACTCACGCCCTGGCCATCTCATGCCTGGACTATTGCAATGCTCTCTACATGGGGCTCCCCTTGAGGAGCACCCGGAGGCTCCAACTGGTCCAGAATGTGGCCGTGCGGGTGGTGACGGGAGCAACGTGGCGCTCCCATGTGACCCCCCTCCTGCGCGAGCTGCACTGGCTCCCAGTGGTCTTCCGGGTGCGCTTCAAGGTTTTGGTTACCACCTTTAGAGCGCTCCATGGCTCAGGACCAGGGTACTTACGAGACCGCTTTCTGCCACCAGTAGCCTCTCACCGACCAGTTCGCTCCCATAGAGAGGGGCTCCTCAGGGTGCCGTCGGCCAAACAATGTCAACTGGTGGCCCCCAGGGGGAGAGCCTTCTCTGTGGGGGCACCTGCCATCTGGAATGAGCTCCCCCCAGAGATACGGAGGATCCAAGACCTACGCATCTTCCGCTGCGCCCTAAAAACGTTTTTATTCCAACAGGCTGGTCTGGCCTAACTCTCCCTTTTAAATTGGGTTTTAAATGTTTTATATAAATTGGATGTTTTAAATTTGTTTCTTGAGCCCAAATTATTTAATCTATTTTTAATAGTTTTTAACTTTTGTATGTTCTTTGTATTTTTATCTTGGCTGTTCACCACCCTGAGTCCTCTGGGAGTAGGGCGGTATACAAATATGATAAATAAATAAATAAATGATAAATATACTCCTAACTGAGGTAGGTTTTTGCAAGGTATTGAATACCTGACTGATTTTAATGGCATTTTCATCAGCTGAGGTCATTGTTTATCCTTGGGTGTTGGTGGGTTTGTGCATTTTAATCCTGTAAACCAGTAGTGGGTTCCACTTACCTTCACTACCGGTTCGGAACTGGGAGCGTGCACATGTGCACGGTCACTTTGCTCGTTCGCGGCACTTCTACATATGCATAGAACATTTTGCACATGCACAGAGCATCCATGATGATGTCCGGGTGAGTGGGCGGAGCCTCCCACCACCGCCACTACCGGTTTGACTAAACCAGGGTGAACCGGTAGAAACCCACCACTGCTGTAAACCCCCTGTGCTACTTGTGTAAGATGAGCAGATATAGTACATATTGGCTTAGGACCGGGGTATTTACGAGACCGCCTTCTGCCACCAGTAGCCTCTCACCGACCAGTACGCTCCCATAGAGAGGGGCTCCTCAGGGTGCCGTCGGCCAAACAATGGCAGGGGGAGAGCCTTCTCTGTGGGGGCACCCGCCATCTGGAATGAGCTCCCCCCAGAGATGGAGGATCCCGGACCTGCGCGCTTTCCGCCGTGCCATCAAAACATTTCTTTTCCAGCAGGCCGGCCTGGCCTAACCTCTCTTTTAAACTTTTTAAAAAATTTTTAAAATTTCTAAATTTTAACTTTGTCTTATGAATTTGGGGTGTTTTAAATTTCGTTTTCTGGGCCAATTATTTAATTGTATTTTAATGGTTTTTTAACATTTATATTATATGTATTTTATTTGGCTGTTCACCGCCCTGAGTCCTTCGGGAGTAGGACGGTATACAAATTTAATAAATAAAGAAAAAATAAATAAAAAACATCATAAATAAGATTTACTTCAAAGTTGAACTCATCCCTTGCTCCAGGTGTGATTGGACAGATAGCAAACTCTTGGCTAAGTAAATAAAAGCACAAGTTATCATGGATTCGAAAAAAGTTACCTAAAGAGAGTTGACCTCTGACATCATAGCAACTCAGCCTTTAGTTTTATACCAACTGTAAATTTACTTTTTTATTTTTGAAAAATACTAACTGCAAAGTTTTTCAACCGCAAATGCTGCATATTTTTAACGATTATAATCTCTGTAATGAATTTCTATGAACGGAATTAAACTGAATGAATTGAGAGATCATTTATATTGGCTTTTTTTACACTAACTGCAAAGGAAGACTGGAAACTCATCAGGATTGTACAGCTTCTACCACAGCTTCTATTTATTTACATTTATTTCTCTGCTTCCTATGAGGATTACAAATGGTATTCTGTAATCGAAAAGGCAATACAAATTTTTAAGAAAAAAACTCTTCGATATTATTATCTTTCTGTAATCCTTTAGACTAACTGCGAGTTAAGATTTCATGTTTTCTTTTCACTGCAGATTTCAGTTTTTCTTCCCAGCTGAGATTTTTTTCTCTTTCTCAAATTTTTATTCATCTGTCACTCTTTTATACATCTGCGGATTACAAACTATAGGGCCACATCATTTTCATTTAAGCTCTACTTCAACACTAGCTAGAAGAGCAACCAAAAGACTAACATATAACTATTGAGACTTTTTTTAAAAAAATATATTTTTATTTCTCATAAACACATTTACATGTACAGTCATTTCCAACATTTTTCATTCATCTTTTCTTTTAACTTTCATTTTTCATTTTTACTTTTTCGGGACTGCTCTTTTACCCTTTACCTTTACTCCAACCTTTCTTCTTCTCCTCGCCTTCTCCTCCTTCCTCTCTCTTCTCCTACTTCCTTTGTTCTTCCTCTCCTTTTCTTTCCTACTTCCCCTTCTCTTCCCCCACTCCTCTCTTCTTCCCCCTTCTAACTTTCTCCTCTACTCCTCTTTCTCCTCCCTTTTCTTCCTCTCCTTTTCCCTTTCCTCTTTCTCCTCTCCTCTCTTCTCCCTTTCTATCTCTCTCTACTCCTTCCCCTCTCTCCTGTTGTTTCCCTTTTCAGTTCACTCTAAAGAGGTGTTCAAGCAGCCCCAATTTTCTAATTATCTTTATTCTCATTTCAATTTCTTATTCAGCTATAACTATTGAGATTTTTAGAGTCCTCCAGAAAGAGCATCCAGACTGGCAGGGAGTTCTTTATTTTATTTTTTGCTATGCTGGTGATACTGAAATGATGGATTCCTTCATGGAAAGAACCACGTTGGCAGAGGTGGGATTCAGCCTGTTCTGATTGGTTCGGGTGTACTGGTAGCTCTGACGATCAGCTGAGAGTGAACCAGTTTGCTCCAATGATCAGATGGGCCCGCCCGTCCACCCCTGTGCTATAACCTACCTATATTTCTTTTGTTTTAAGTCCAGCAGATAGGTGCGGCAGAGCAGATTGCCATGACTCAGCTGTTTTACTCACTCTGGATTCAGTAGAAGGTAGTTTTCAATCGTATTGAGCACTTGAGGAAGTGTGAGTTTGTTACAACCGGTGAATCCCACCACTGCCTTTGGTATAGTGTAGATTGGCTCTGCATTATATCTCGCTAATTGGTTTACTCCAAATGAAATATCGGGTCTTGACCAATTGCTTATATAAGATAGACTACCTATAAGAGACTGGTAGATCTCCTTACTAAATTTAGGACTTTGGATTTCTCCTTGTTGAAAATCCTGTGCCATAGGCGTTTTAGCTGCCTTACATAGCTCCATGCCATAACGTTTCAACATTTGGTTTATTTTGCTAGATTGAGATATTTTATAACCTCTAGCTGTTTGATTGATATCTAGACCCAGATAATGCCTAATATTTCCTAAATTTCTGATTTTAAATTTGGTTTGTAACTGTTTAACAATATCTATGGCTTCCTTATCAGTTTTGGTTATTATGGCTATGTCATCTGTAAACAATAACAAAAATGATACTACACCATTATTTTCTCTTTTAAAGAGACACTTATCCGCTACACCTTCATGAAAACCAATCTTATTTAGCTCTTTCACTATACATTGGTTCCACTCAAACCCTGATTGTCTCAAACCATAAAGGCTTTTATTTAACTTCCAACAATCAGTGTGGTTTTGTGTTTCAAATCCTAAAGGCTTCCTCGTATAGATGGTGTGTCTCAATGGAGCATGCAAGTATGTTGTCTCTACATCTATATGGTTAATACTATATTTATACTTAGCCGCCCACACTAGCATTGTTCTTAAGGTACTAGCACATAAACTAGGAGCAAAAACCTCATCGAAATCCTTTTCGGTCTGAGAAAAACCTTGAGCTACAAGGCGAGCTTTATGGGTTACGGTCCCATCTATGCTTTTCTTAATTTTGAAAACCCATCTACAACCTATTAATTTTTCACCAGGTGGCAATTTCACAGGTTTTTTTTGCAAAAAAGAAAAATCCTGGAGCACCGGGAAACTACCAAAGAGTTGAAAAAGACCTGATGTGATTCCCATCTTCAAAAAAAAAAAAGGGGGGGGGGGCGGGAAGGGGACAAGACCTTGGAAACCACAGACAAATCAGTTGGTAAGATACTGGAAAAAATAATAAAAAACAGATCAGTGAACATCTAGGAACAAATAAAGTTATAACTAGTAGCCAGCAGGGGTTTGTTAAAAACAGATCATGCCAAATCAATCTTCTTTGACAAAGTGACTAAGTTTACATACAATTTCTTACTACTTGCACTTACCCCTTCCTTTCCCGAAAGCAGTGAAGAAAGGATCCTCTAGTCGATTAGAGAATTCTTCTGGGAAGTTGGTCATTACTTCTTTCACAGCTTTGAATCCAGACATCACGACTAAAAGTTGAGGTCCGATCCACATGGAGTATATCTTTCCATATCGTTTTACATGCTGCCAAGTGAATCAAAGTTGAAAAAGGTCACAATATAATATAACAGGTTCTTTACAGCTAAGACACCCAACTACAGTCTTTCCTAAATCCTCAATTCTAAGGCGTTTCCCCATATGCAATTCTTTGTTCCTTAGAATTCATTTTTCTCTAAGATTCCTGCCAAGAACTTCTTTATCTACTTAAAAAAAAAATAAGCTAGGATGTTCCTTTCTCTGTGTTTCTACTTGAAATCCAGCTTCTCCCATCTGCTTCCTCACTGCTCCCACACCCTAAAGGAGAGATGCCTATGCCTTCTGTGACTGACAGATATGTGAGCCAATGGTTGTCTGAAACAGCTTGCTCATGAGTCACATCTTTTGAGCACTACAGTGCGGATGGTTTGCGGAGGCTTTCTCAACCTCTTTATCCTCTCCTTTTTTAAGCCATCAACTCCTCAACTTTCCAACTGTTTATGTTATATTGACAGGACAGTCTACAGGCTTTGTTGTGTCCTGATCTAGTATTCTTCATTGGATGGGTTCAGGGATGGGATTCAGCCAGTTCAGACCCATTCGGGTGTACCAGTAGCTCCAACAATCATTTAGTTGAAATGGGAGAGGTATACATTGTATAAATATATATTATTCATACAAAAATTATACCAAAATAGCTGATTTATTGTTGTTGTGGTGGTGTTTTCAGCCTCCTTTCAAAGACGGCAACAGAAACTATTCCTAAATAAAGGTAAAGGTTCCCCTCGCACAAATGTGCTAGTCGTTCCTGACTCTAGGGAGCGGTGCTCATCTCCGTTTCAAAGCTGAAGGGTCAGCTTTGTCCGAAGATGTCTCTGTGGTCATATGACCAGCATGACTAAACGCCAAACACTGTTACCTACCCACCAAAGTGGTCCCTATTTTTCTACTTGCATTTTTTATGTGCTTTCAAACTGCTAGGTTGGCAGAAGCTCAGACAAGTAACGGGAGCTCACCCTATTACGCAGCACTAGGGATTCGAACCGCTGAACTGCCGATTTTTCAATTGGCAAGCTCAATGTCTTAGCCACTGAGCTTTTTATTTTATTTTTTATTTTTTTTTATTTATTCCTAAATAGTTTCCCCTAAAATCTATTCAGGGAAAAGAAGAAAGGATTTCCCACGGATTTCCCACTCTCAGAAAAAAAAATTGGTTTCTGGACCAACGGCTAAATTGGTCTCTGAGAAAGGAATGTGAGTCTAGAAGCAGATGCTAAATGACAGTGAGTATTTTTCTGCAAAACATAGCAAACACTTTTCCAATCATTAATATGGTGAACTGTTCATTGGTCTCTTTCCTTCCAAGAAGAAAAAGGGATCAGCCTTTTCACTTTCCAACTGACTCATCTGATGTTTGTTTGTTATTCTATTATGCCAAAATAAGTATTGAGTAATAAGAACTATTGCCAACATGATTGTGCAAAACACAGCATATGATTATCTGATTACTAATATGGTAAACTGTTCTCTAGCTTCTCTTAGGCCAAGAAGCAAAAGGGAATGAGTTTTGTCTCTATCCAGCTGAATCCAGCTCATTCCTTTTTTTTTTTCTTGCTCTAAGAATATATATGAGTTGCTTGGAAAACAACCATGAATAACATTCTCTGCTCATAAACTATTTATTTCTCCCATTTTTGTTCCCCTCTGTGTAACTGTTACTTGGAGATGCATTAGTTTATGTAAAAGCCTTTCGGTGATTCAATGATGATAGAATCCCGATGTTGTTCTAGCATCCAAAAATAATTCTACTGTACTCAGTCACTATTCCTGACCTGCTCTCGAGTTGCCATAGGCAGGGGCATGGGGGATCAAACATCGCAGCTGCATTGAGGAACTTGCACTTCAGTCAAAAGAAAGCACATTCCAGCCATCTCTCTGTCAAGGCCATCTCCATGGTTACACACAGTGGCCTGAAGGGAGGGACTTCTACAACCTGCGAAATTGCTTCGTTGGAGAATGTGACTGATGACACACCTTGGGGGAAGGGGGAAACAGGGTCAGAGCTGGGATGCGAATAAAGTGAGGTCAGAGTTGGCTTCACTTGGTCTGTGCCTAATAAATAACTGGATTTCTTTTGAAGCTTGGCTTGAGGCTCATGATTTAATTAGGGCATCGGTCGGAACCCTGACAGCCCTGCTACTACATCCTGAGTTTTTTTTTAAATTTATTTTAATTTATTATGAAATATATTTGCTGCCCATCTTGTGTCAAATGACTCTAGGAGCTTTTAAAACATTAAAAACATTCAAATGATCAATAATAAGACAACAGGCAGATAAAATAAAATCATTAGCACAAGATGGTGAGTCTGCGGTGTGGGAAGCAATCTCAACTCAGCCGGAAGGATGTTCCATTGGCATAAGCCACGGCAGAGAAATCTCTTCACCTTTAGTTGTATGATCCTTTTGCATCCCATTTTTTATTAAATATTGGAACCCAGAAGAAAATGGCTTTCATTATCTAAGCAAAACTGTTGTTTCAACTTGATTTAACAGACAATGGTTAATTATGCTACTGTCTATTGGAGGAATATTACTAGAGTATCATAATTCCACCAACAGTGGGGTCCGATTAAATTATATTTCAAATCACACATTGTTTCTTGAAAATTATTATTCAGAATTCTAAGGAGTTACCTATCTTATATTGCTCAGAGCCTTTATGCTGGAGAACATACCAACAATGAAGAGGTAGTCAAATTAAACCTTATAAACCACCAATATCTGCCAAGCAGAATCTTTATACAGACAAACCTGTTCTATTGCTCCCTTCTCCAACCAGCTAAATTATCTAAAGCAGGCATTGCAGATCTAGAAAGTTTTGGAAATCAATGTAGAATTGCAGAATTAGAAGAAACCACTTAGACTACCAAGTTCCACCTATTGTCCTTCGCAGGAATACAACATGAATCGTCTTCAAGAGAGGAATGTCTCATTTGAGCAGAGTGCAGGTGCAACCACCCTCTTTCTGGTGAATGCATTCTATTATTAAAGGTTTTTTGGTAAGATTGAATTAGAATTTGCCTTCTAAAAATTCAACTCCATTATTTCACATTCTGCTCTGTGAAATGCTGGTGAGCAGGTCTTGACTTGAAAATTCTGGCACGATGAGAAAACTAGTTAATCAAGTGCCAACAATGCAGGAATATTTTACTGAGTTTTACATTTGTGGTACAAAAAACCCCCATTGAGAATCAATTTCCCTATTACAACATGATTATTTAGAATGAAATACCTTCCGGAAATAATCTTCACGAAGCGAAAACCCGTAAGCCCACAAGCTCCCAATGAAAGGTAGAGCCAAAGGTCCGGGGGGCAAATGTCTTCGGGACCAGAGTTGTTTGAAGAAGAGGAGAATCAGCAGAGCAAGCAGCAAAACAAACAGAAATATCCCTGTCACCATCATTTTCCTGCTGGATCTTTATCTTTGAGACTTTCTAGTCGATCTGAAGGTGACTGTGTCCTTTTATCTGATCGTGTTTTGTTTTTCTTCCTGTTTTATGTATTTCATAGAGCCAAGGTGCCGAGGTGGCGCAGTGGTTAGGGTGCAGTACTGCAGCTACTTCAGCTGACTGTTATTTCAGCAGATCAGTGGATGAAATCTCACCAGCTCAAGGTTGACTCAGCCTTCCATCCTTCCGAGGTGGGTAAAATGAGGATCCAGATTGTTGGGGGCAATATGCTATTTAGTATACTGTCTTTGATGTAAGCCGCCCAGAGTCCTTGGAGAGTGGGCGGCATAGAAATATGAATAATAAAAAAATAATAAATTAAATTATTGGGAAAACATCCTGCAGCTACTGTCCTTAAACCAACCATCAAAGTATATCCAGCTGCCTATCCCATGACCACATCTGGAAATGATTCATGCTAGAACTTTAGCAAGAACAATTGCCCAACTCTGGAGTATCATAAAACCCAATAGAGGTCAGGTGGCTTGAGTAGCACCTAGCAAACCTACATGATATTGTGTTTTGCCTTCTGGGCCAATATTTTTATTATTCTTTTTATTCCTTGCAGGTGAGGGTGCTGGCAGTCACAGCAATGGGGACAGCAGCAGCCGACCGGGGGGTGACACCTATCAATGCATGGGAGATGCTGGAGGCCTTTGTGGTATGCTGGGGACTCCTAACATGGTGGCACTTGCTGAAAGCTGTAAAACAAATATTCAGGGTGTGGACAGACCATAAAAATCTTGTGACGTTAAAAACACCAAGACGTCTATCACCAAAACAGGTCTGGTGGGCACAATATTTCCAACAGTTCTGTTTCATCCTCAAATACGTCCCAGCAGGGAGGAACCTCCTAGCTGATGCCCTCTCATGTATGCCACAGTACCATAGCTGCATGGAGGATGTGGTAAAGGCCATCATCCCACCATATCAACAGGTGGCCCAGGTGACAGGGTGGACATAGGGGATTACCTTACTAAGGAGCTGAAAATGGCATTGTTAAGTGACCCATGGGTGAAAGAGAATCTGGAGCTGTGTACCACAAGAAATGGAGTGGCATGGAAGGGGGACAAGCTATATATCCCAGCTGCCCTTCAGGTTATGGTCCTGCAGCAGTGCCATGTCATCAAACTGGCTGGACATGTCGGATTTCTTAAGACCTTATATCTCACTAAACAGTAGTTCTGGTGTCCTCGTATGCATGCAGAGATTGAAGAATATGTCCAGAGCTGTCCGACTTGTGCAATGACAAAAGTAAGGCCCAGAAAACCTCTTTTTTATTTTTTTAAATGCAATTTTATTGAATTAAGAACATATTACAATGTCAAAAGTGGTATGGAATATTTGATGAAGAAGCTAAATGGCTTTGGAGGTTTAGTCAGTTTCAAAATAACTTTTTTTTAATTTATTTATTTATTAAATTTTTATACTGCCCTTCTCCCGAAGGACTCAGGGCGGTGTACAGCCAAGATAAAAAGCCAACAATATAAAAGTTAAAAACAATTTAAAATTATTAAATAGATTGGCCAATAATCTAAAATAGAACAACCCATTAAAATAATATTTTAGGCCAGCCCTGCTTGATGGAATAATAGTGTTATTATTCCACTAATCAAAAAATAAAAATTCTAGTTAAAAATCCAAATATCCAAGACTGAACTTCTGATGAAGAAATCAAATTTAAATACCCTTGGGTGATGCTTACAAAAATAAATCCTAAATTGTTCCAAAACAGTGTGGAACATTCATGAAAAATCTGATATGTCAGTGTCTGAGATTGAACACTCAGAATTCCAGATCTTACACCAGTCATGACTCCAAGTCAGAAGAAGAGAGATGGAAATGATCCCCTGGGAGAATGTGGTGGTATTAAGATGCTTTGTTCCTTAGGTAACTGTTTGTGGGGCCCTGAATAAGGAATCAAGTGTAAGTCGTCAGTATTGCTGCTGTACTGCCTTCCTTGTTGCCCATGCCTTTGACCTCATTGCCCTGATGTTGACAAATTCATCCTGACTTCTTATGTCAAAAATGTCAATCTCTAGGCCATCAGAGCAGGTCTGAGTGACTTAGAATTTCATGACCACCAAGACAAAACCAAAAAGTCATCATGATGTTCACTCACACTAAGAGCAACACACACTTTGTCTGGGTTTTTTTCTTAACCAACATGTGATCTGAAGATCTAGGACATTCACTTCACTCATGAGGAGATCACTTTCCATATACCAGAAAGCTTGCTGCAATCTCTATTTAGATTGCATCATTCAGATCTAACTGGTTTACTTGGGGAAATGTCCCAGAAACCTGACAGGCCTTTCTGTTGGGAATTTACTCCAGAATACAAGAGTAACAAAGAGACTAGGCTGCATTACCCTAAAGAGCCTCTTTCTTTGCATTGATTCAGAGAAAGATTTTGAATAATCAAAGAATTCTGGGAGAGGAATTGCCAGAAAAGACAAGTGGAGTAATATTGGCCAAAAATAACTCATTTGGAGAAGGTCCAGAGGTATAGAGTGGGTCCAGAGGTATTCCACAAGAAGAGTACTCCGCTCCTCTACTCACAATAGAATCCCTTATGCCACCAGGCTTGAAATTTTGGGCTTGGACAATCTGGAACTGCACCACATGCGGTCCAATCTAAGCATAATACACAAAATTGTCTGCTACAATGTCTTAGCTGTCAATGACTACTTCAGCTTCAACCACAATAATACTCAGGCAGACAATCAGTACAAGTTCAAGATAAACCTCTCCAAACTCAAGTGCAGAAAATACAACTTCAGCAACAGAGTGGTTAATGCTTGGAATTCTCTACCCGACTCCGTTATTACTTCCTCAAACCCTCACAGCTTCAACCTCAAACTGTCTACCGTGGACCTCACCCCATTCCTAAGAGGTCCATAAAGGGGGCATGCATAAGCGCACCAGCGGGCCTATCATTGCTGTCCTACTGTCCCCATTTATTCATACTCATTTCCTTTGTTCATGTCCATGTTTATACCTATACCTGCTATCCTGTACATGTTTGACAAATAAATAGATAAATAAAATAAAATTTTAAAAAGGTTGAATAGAAAATGATTCGACTGTAACTAGAGAAGGCTCTAGATGATCCAGTCTACATTCAGGCCTAAGGATGAGATGAAAAATGCATTGGTTTCTCTTTGAATGTTCTGCCCTGGAATATGGATAGGTGGCACATCCTTTCTTTTTCTGTTAATTCTGTCAGCTGTCAGCTTGGGAAGCCATATTAGGCCGGAAGCTTCCATGCTGTCATCTTCTCATGTGTGGGAAAGTAGGAGGGGGGATTTAGTAGAGGGGTTGTCTGTAGACATAATAGCATTCTTCCTGTCAGTCAAGGTCAGGCTGATCCTGCATCTGGAGAAGAAGTGGTCGGAGTGATGTCTCGAGATGGGACGGCGGTTGATTGGAGCACGTGATCGACTGAGGAGTGAGGGGATGGTTTTGGGGGTTTTGATTTACTGAGGGAAAACCCAGACCTCTCAGATTTGGGTTTTCCCAGATGTGCCAGTTTATCTATTCTAGTAAATCGAACTTTGAAAAATGCTTCCTTCAGAGTCTTTACTTGGAGTTGGGGGGTTTTCTGGAAAGCTGACATCAGCAGAATTTCATCCCTTTATGCATGGTACCATTTTGGACTATCTCTGAAATTTGCTCTGGCTCGGGAAAGTGAAGCCCACAGGAGAAATTTATTAAAACTGAAAGAAGATACTAAGACTAATGAGAAAGTGATATGTTTTATTGCCACCCAAAGGAAACAAAAGGGAAAACACACCAAACCTACTTAGCACATTTTTTTCCCCCATACACAATCTCCTGGTCTTTCATTGACCTGGTTAGGTACGTTGTGTGAACCCAGCAATAGTTTGAAGAAGTTTCAATGCAGAATAAAAAGAAGCAAAATAATATGATAAATGAATAGGCACAATTGCCCATTGTTACAGAATAATAATAATTATTATAAAAAAGCCAGATATCACAGTTGTCGAAAAACCGAAACGTACAATTTATTGACATTGCGGTACCAGGAGACGCCAGAGTCGAAGAAAAAGAACTGGAAAAAATCATAAAATATCGCGACCTGGCTATAGAAACTACACGGCTATGGATGAAACATGTCACAGTGATACCCATTGTCATCAGGGCACTTGGTACCATATCCAAGAATTTCACAAAACACTTCAAGAAATTGCAGCTTCCTGCAATAACATCAGCGGAACTGCAAAAAACTGCGCTACTCGGAACATCATATATTTTAAGAAGGTACTTGGTTGATACCTAGGACGCTGGCAGCAACCCGTATCAGCCATTAGCACCAGTCAATGGTATTTGTGACACATTTTTAAATGTCCAGTTGACTGAGTTTCATTTTTAATGAATAAAAGATAATAATACAAAAAAGCAAAAGTAAACATATACTATAGTGAATAACTATTCTGTAATTAATTTTATGCTTTGTATGGTGTTTTTTATATATTTAAGTGTGTGTGGGAATAGCACACAATTTGTAAGGCTGTGGATGCACTGTCACTTTTGCAATAGGGGTTTTTTTGAGTTCTTTCATTCCTTCAGGTGCCCGGAAGCTAAATGCTCTCAGCAGGTTGGTCAGAAAGATGAAGATCTCAGTTCTTGCCAGCTGCTCTCCAATACAGGCACGCTGACCTGCAGATGAGACAAAACATGGATGAAGCGGTTACTAATCTGTTCTCCAGAGTATATCACCATCAGCAAGGAAATCTGAAAAAAATTACAATGGTGTAGCTTCTAGCAGATTCAGTTCCTAGGGTTATTTTCTTAGTTTCCCTCAGTTTGTGAAAAGCTCCTTAAGGAATGACTTTAATACAACTTATACTACACGTAGACCATTTCAAAGGTTACACAATGCACCCATTAAAAAAAAAAATGATATGGTATGTTTTTCCAGAGATGGGCCTATGAGAGGAAAGTCCACTTCTCACCATTAAGCACTATACATTGGGTGTGGTAGGTCAGCCAATTGCAAATGCTTCTGATGGTGGTACTGTCTATCCCATATCAAGAAGTAGCAATAGCAATAGCACTCAACAGAGCCTTGATAGTACAGTGGTTTAGTGCACCCTGTTATTAACACAGCTGCCTGCAATTTCTGCTGGTTCGAATCTCTCCAAGGCTCAAAGTTGACTCAGCCTTCCATCCTTTCTAAGGTAGGTGAAATGAGGACCCAGTTTGTGGGGGCAATAAGCTGACTTTGTATAAAATATACAAAAGAATGAAGGCTATTGCTTAACGCATTGTAAGCTGCCCTGAGTCTCCGGAGAAGGGCGGCATATAAATCAAATTTTAAAAAAACAACAACTTATATACCGCTTCACAGAGCTTCACAGAGCTTTACAGCCCTCTCTAAACGGTTTATAGAGTCAGCATATTGCCCCCAACAATCTGGGTCCTCATTTTTCCAAATTCGAAAAGATGGAAGACTGTAGTCTACTTTATCAAATGCCTTCCTGAAGTCCAGGCATATTATGTTTAAGGCATTTCATTGGTCCACTTTATGAAAGAATAAGATTTGCCGGACACAATCTGTTTTTAACAACCACATAATGGCTTATAGTGATCACTTTCTTCATTTCTAGGTGGCCACTTATCCTCCACTTATCATCATCATCATCATAAGTTTATTTGTCAAGCATATATAAGATAACAGGTACAAGCATAAACGTAATTTGAATACACGAAAAGAGTAAGTAAAAAGGAATATTAACTTGATTATCTTTTCCAGGATTTTCCCCGGTATTGATATCAACCTTATGGGCCTATAATTTCCTGGATACATTTTCCCCTTTTTGTCGATTGGTACCACATCAGCAGTTTTCCAGTCCTCTGGTAGTTCCCCTATATGAGCTTTGAAAGATTACCCTCAGTGGCCCAGGGGTGGGTTCTACTTACCTTTACTACAGGTTCGCAATGGGGCCACGCACGTGCGCTCTTCTGCGCATGCGCAGAAGTGTTCTGATGATGTCGGGGTTGGTGGGCGGAGCCTCCCTCGAGTTTTACTACTGGTTCTATAGAACCGGTCTGAACCGGGGGCAACCCACCACTGCAGTGGCCCCATGATTACATCTGTCAGTTCCTTCAGAACCATGGGATACAAACCAGCTGGTCAGGTGATTGGTTCTCATTCAGGGTGGATAGGTATACTCTTACCATTTCCTTGCCTGTTTTAATTTGTGTACTGTTCTCTCTATCTCTTTCAGTGCTGCTTGTGCTGTTTCTTCCTTTTGCATAAAAATAGATGCATAGAAGACATTAAGCAGTTCCGCTTTTTCCCCCTGCTACATATCACCAACTTGCCATTTCTTTTTTTTTTTTAATTTGATTTATATGCCGTCCTTCTCCGGAGACTCAGGGCGGCTTACAATGCGTTAAGCAATAGCCTTCATCCTTTTGTATATTTATACAAAGTCAGCTTATTGCCCCCACAAACTGGGTCCTCATTTAACCTACCTTAGAAAGGATGGAAGGCTGAGTCAACCTTGAGCCTGGTAAGATTTGAATCTGCAGTAATTGCAGGCAGCTGTGTTAATAACAGGGTGCATTAAACCACTGTACTACCAAGGCTGTACTACCATTTGCTGCCATTAGTGGACCTATCATTTCCTTGACTTTCTTCTTGTTCCTTACACATTGAAAGAATGTTTTTATTTTGTTGTTGTTAATTTTAGCATTGGTTGCCAGTCTTGGCTCACTCTGGGCCTTAGTTTCCTATATTTATTTATTTTTTATTTTATTTTGAATTTGTATACCGCCCTTCTCCCTGAGGACTCAGGGCGGTGAACAGCCAAGTAAAAACATCAAGTACAAATATTAAAATACAGTTAAAATATACATATATAAATTTGGCCCCATTAATTAAAAACAATAAACAAAACACTTAAAAACACTTAAAAAATTAGGCCAGCCCGGCTTGCTGGAAAAGGAAGGTTTTAAGGGCACGGCGGAAGGCACTGAGGTCTTGGATTCTCCTTATCTCTGGGGGCAACTGATTCCAGAGGGTGGGTGCCCCCACAGAGAAGGCCCTCCCCCTGGGGGTCACCAGCCTGCACTGTTTGGCTGATGGCACCCCGAGGAGGCCCTCTCTGTGGGAGCGCACGGGTCGATGGGAGATCGTCGGTAGCAGCAGGCGGTCTCGAAGATAGCTAGGTCCTATGCCATGGAGCGCTTTAAAGGTGATAACCAACACCTTGAAGCGCACCTGGAAGACCACCGGGAGCCAGTGCAGCTCGCGCAGGAGCGGTGTTACATGGGAGCGCTAGGCTGCTCCCGTCACTACCCGCGCTGCTGCGTTCTGGACCAGTTGGAGCCTCCGGGTGCTCCTCAAGGGGAGCCCCATGTAGAGAGCGTTGCAGTAGTCAAGGCTTATATGTTGTAAGCTGCTTTGGGCTCATGGATGTACCTAGTCCAAATGGCAGAAACGCTTCTCGATTAAGGAAATTCCCATCCTTATCTAAAAAGTGATTTGGGTTGAATTCTTCAGGTGTCTCCCATTGCTCAGGATCAAAAAGAACAGAGCGCAGGTCTGTAATAATAAAGGTCCCCTGGAAAGAAAGAAAAAAGATGACTAAATATAGCAGTTTCATAAAGGAAATGGGCAAAAATATTTAAACAATATTGATGAAACATTTGCTTATAAATTATCTGTATGGATCTATATTTATTAATTTCCAAAGCAGTTTGTGAGAGCAGTAACTGCTCAAAAATTTGGCTTCCTTTCTTCCCTGCCTTCGAATTTGGGCAAAGAAAAATGACCATATATAATTTCTGTTCTAAACTTAAGTTCAGCCCTTAATCTCTTATCATCTTCCTAGGATAAATAGAAAAATATTTAATGTTCTAGATTTAAAATCTGAGTAGTGCTTAGATTTAAACCCATAATTGATACCCTACAAAAGCTTGCTATTCTTGCCCATTGGATTTTGCATTATTATATTGGCAGTTCTTGAACAGAGAGCGTCTGTTTATTTATTTATTTATTTATTTGTTTAAATTTCTATACCGCCCTTCTCCAATGTAGGACTCAGGGCGGTGAACAGCCAAAGTAAAAACAAGACATACATACAAAACATACAAAATCTAAAATCTGTTTAAAATAATTAAATAATTTTGGCCGTAATTAAAACATTCCAATTTAAAATCCGTTTAAAATTTGACTCAAGCCAGCCCAGCTAGTTGAAATAAATGGGTTTTTAGGGCCCGACGAAAAATCCGGAGGTCTGTTATTGTACGTAGCTCTGGGGGGAGGTTGTTCCAGAGGGTGGGCACTGCCACAGAGAAGGCTCTCCCCCTGGGGGTCGCCAGCCGACATTGTCTGGCGGACGGCACCCTGAGGAGGCCCACTCTGTGGGAGCGTACTGGCCGGTGGGAGGCTATTGGTGGCAGAAGGCGGTCTCGTAAGTACCCCGGCCCTAAGCCATGGAGCGCTTTAAAGGTGGTCACCAACACCTTGAAGCGCACCCAGAAGACCACCGGGAGCCAGTGCAGCTCGCGCAGGAGAGGTGTCACATGGGAGCGTCTCGTCGCCCCCAAAATCCCCCGCGCGGCCGTGTTCTGGACCAGCTGGAGCCTCCGGGTGCACCCGAGGGGGAGCCCCATGTAGAGAGCGTTGCAGTAGTCCAGGCGGGAAGTGACGAGTGCCTGAGTGTTCTAGTCCATATTCTGCTTTTCCTTCCATGCTGGTTACTGGAATGCAGGCTGAACATGTTTCTCACCTTTGGAATGTGGTAACCCCTCATCGTCACATCCTTTGTACTTTGCCTGGGTCCCCCATATAGCATGACATATTTTACACGTTGCATTTCATGAATCACGGCATTGGTGTAAGGCAGCTTCTTCCGATCCTGATAGGAAATTGACTGTGAGGAGCCAAACACATCTTCAATCTCCTTCTGGACTTTCTCTGGAAAAAATGATGGAAATAGAAGCTTCATTCTCAATATTGTGTTTCATTTATTTATTTCTGAATTTTAACTTTGGGACATAGACTAGCCTTTAGGGCATTAAATGTGATCCCATTCTCTTTTTAAATATCATGAAGGAGAGCAGATTAAAAATGTGCTTCCTATGTTCTGATTAGATCTAGTCCAAACTGATTCAGAATATTGTTGCAAACTGGTGATTTAGTTCAAATATTCTTCTAAATATCCTTCAATCTAGTCAGTCTCCAGAATTCAATCCCAAACAGTTTGGAAATCTGATTCGGTTAAAAATATTTCTATAATTGTGTTTAAAATACCAATGAGGATCAATTTTTTCAAGAGCCTTCTTATGTTTATTTCTGTTTCTTATTTTTTTGATTATTAAATTTATATGCCAACCATCACTGTTACAGTGAGTTTGGGCAGATAGATACACATACATACACACGATACGATACAATACAATACAATATGATAGGATGCAATGCAATGCAATGCAATGCAACGCAACGCAACGCAACGCAACACAACACAATGCAACCACGTAACATAAATGAGATAAATAACATAAATTGTTATTGAGCCCAGCTGGCGCAGTGGTTAGAGTGCTGTACTGCAGCTACTTCAGCTGACTGCTAGTTCAGCAGATCAACAGATCAAATCTCACTGGCTCAAGGTTGACTCAGCCTTCCATCCTTCCGAGGTGGGTAAAATGAGGACCCAGATTGTTGGGGCCAATATGCTATTTAGTATACTGTTGATTGTTGTAAGCCACCCAGAGTCCCCGGAGAGTGGGCAGCATAGAAATATGATTAACAAATTAAATAAATAAATAAATAACATAAATAACATAAACAACACAACACAACACAACACATAACATAACAACAGTGAGGAACTTCAGAGTTGAAAGGATTAGCTGGTGACATCATTGTTACACAGGGGCAACCATTTGGGGGTGGGTGGGATTCCTTTCAGGTCCCTGGCTAGAGCAAAGGACAGGAGCTCACCTCACCCAACAGCAGCATTCAGGTCTCAAATGTGGGTTCGCATCCTAACCACACTACTCACCGCAAACAGCCAGAAAAAGAAGCAACAGAAGGAAGGAATGATTGGAACGTAGGGTAAGTATTGGGAGGGCAGCAAAAGAATGTAAGAGCACTGACTCAGAGTCTGCAGCTATGCCAGCACCTCAAGATCAACTGCTGGGAAAGTCTACTAAACAAGAATTACCCAAACAAAATGAACATAGTGAATTGGAGGGGGAAAAATGATCATGGAAGGGCCATGGAAAAGGGGATGTTTAATTATGCTCTTTGCACACGAAACTGTCATAAATCGCTTTGCTACTTCTGAATCCATGCTATCTCAGTAAATTGTATTCTTGGAAAATGAAACTGCCCCAGGAGTCTTAATTTGCTGAATGAACTGTGTGGGACAGTTGACATATATACTATATGTATTGTATAAAACAGTGTGGGATTCAGCTGGTTCTGTCTGGATTGTGCAAACTGGTAGCGGTGACTGTGGGAGGTCAAGGTTTCCCAGTTGTTAATGTCCAATTCCCAGGGCCTTTAGGTCCCTCTTGCAGATATCCTTATATCACAGCTGTGGTCTCTGTTCATTATCATACTGTAATTTGGTTGTCTATTCACAATTTAGGCCAGAAACAAGTAACAAATCTGAAAACCTTGGTAGAGTTCTGCATTTAAAGTGTGTTATTTTTAGATCTGTACTGATTTCCAGTTTTTTAATTCCTAACTCAATATTTCGCTGCAGACATCAAAGAAAGCTCTCTGTATGTACAGTCTTGGCTCTTCTGTAAACTAGCTAAGTTCGTGCTCCTGATTATAGGATCAACAATCCTCATAGGGAAATTATTATGAAGAATGAATTCAGTTCATCATTCAGCCCTTAGTACTTCAAATAATTTCTCTGTATTTTAGAACCTGAGGAGGCTGACACTTGTTCTACCTACTCATTGTCTGTCTCACCTTGGATGTGGGGATGAGTGGCCAAGAGGAGCAGGGTCCACAGCATAGTGGCGAAAGATGTGTCAATTCCAGCAACAATAAAATCAAGAAGACACTGAGCCAGGTTGTCTTCATTGTAGGTAGCGTTAGGATCGTTCTTGCTCTGAGGTTTAAAATAGAAAATGAAAATTACAATGAGTTCTATGCAGCTTTTCTGTATTTACTTTGGCTTCTGCATCACAAGTCACAACAATAAATATAAAAGAAAATCAATGCAGGAGAGTAACAATTAAAGCGGGGTGGGTTCTAAATTTTTTTACTACCGGTTCTGTGGGCGTGGTTTGTTTTGTGGGTGTGGCTTGGTGGGGGGTGGGGTAATGTGACTGGGTGGGCGTGGCCAACTCTTTTTTTTTTACTTTTAAAAGCATTTTTTCTTCCTCTTAAGAGGTTGCAGAAAAAAAATGCTTTTAAAAGCCTCTGATGATCAAGCAACTCAGCTGGAATTGTCAGAGGCTTTTAAAGGCATTTTTTTTTCCTACAACCTCTTCGGCCGAAGAGGCTGCAGAAAAAAATGCTTTTAGAAGCCTCTGACAATCCCAGCTGAGCCATGTGATCATCAGAGCCTTTTTTTTTTTTTTTTACTTTTAAAAGCATTTTTTCCGCCGAAGAGGTTGTAGAAAATATCAGACCTCCGGACTTTTCATTGGGTCCTGAAGATATACTTGTTCCATCTAGCTGGGCTGGCTTGATCCCACCCTCTTAGTTTTTAATCGAATTTCGGTTTTAATTGGGTTGTTTTAAATTCGGGCCAAAATTATTTAATTGTTTTTTAAAATGTTTTTAAATTTTATATGCTATGTTTTAACCTGGCTGTACACCGCCCTGAGTCCTGCAGGAGAAGGGCGGTATAGAAATATAATAAAATAAATAAATAAAATGCTTTTAAAAGGAAAAAAAAAGCCTCTGAGGGGGTGGGCGGGATAAGCGAGCAGCGACCGGGTTGGGGACCAGTTCGGGGGCGTGGCCAGCCAATGTTTATTTTATTTATTTTATTTATTTAATTTATATACCGCCCTACTCCCGAAGGACTCAGGGCAGTGAACAGCCAAACAGTAACAATACATAAATACAAAATTTAAAAAACAAAGTAAAATTGAATTAAACAAGTTTGGCCCAAACATATTAAAACCCCAATCATTTAAAAAACCAATTAAAACTTGCGTAATTAAAAAGAGGGAAAAGATTACCAGTTCTCTGAATTACTATAAATTTTTACTACCGGTTCTTGCGAACCGGTGCGAACCGGGAGCAACCCACCATTGAATTAAAGTGGTAGATTCACACCGACTAGAACACTATATTCGAGTAGCCCAGATCAAAGAGAGTTTTGGCTTTAGACAAACTTTCATGTGTTTTGGTTTAGTTTATGATCAATTAGGTAAATATTGAAAAATTGTAAGAAAAATGATACAGTATGTGTCACCTGCCTATTGATGGAGAAGGAATTTGAGAAACAAACCATCATACGTATCACAGCCACAGAACTAGAAAAAGCATTTGATCAAGTACCACATGACCTATTTCTTTTCCCATCCACAAATGGTCTGGCCTCTCACCATTGTTCTTTATACTTAGTCTGGACACTGTAACCAGAAACCTACATTGCCCACAGATGCTATTACATGCTGATGATAACTTGATAAAGGGTGAAACATTCCCTCATTCCTAAAGACTGTATCAGGAGTGAAAGCCAACTGGTTCTGGAGAACTGGTAGCGGAAATTTTGAGTAGTTTGGAGAACTGGTAGCGGAAATTTTGAGTAGTTCGGAGAACCGGTAGCAGAAATTTTGAGTAGTACAGAGAACTGGCAAATACCACATCTGGCTGCTCCCAGAGTGGGGTGGGAATGGAGTTTTTGCAATATCCTTCCTCCAGGAGTGGGGAGGGAATGGGAATTTTGCAGTATCCTTCCCCTGCCACGCCCACCAAGCTCCTAGGCATTTCCCTCCATGCCAGAAAGGCACACAACTCTGGGAGTGCACTTTGGGTACTTTGGGAGTGCAGAGATGAAGGAAACTTTGGGAGTGCAGAGATGAAGGAAATACCAAACCAGTGGTGGGTTGCTCCCGGTTCTGTCCGGTTCTATAGAACTGGTAGTAAAACTGGCAGGAGGCCCCGCCCACCTGCCACGTCATCATGGGAGATGATGACGCCCACCAAGCTACACCACGCCCACCAAGCCACACCCACAACACTGGTAGTAAAAATAATTGGATTTCACCACTGGACTGTATATCTTGAAAATAATGACCAGACCAATGGTACACTCAAGACTGATAAAGTTACATGGTGCAAAGTAACTTCAAATTGATCCAAATTGCTTCTAAAAACTCAAATCTTTTTTTCTGAAAACATGGGAGAGGGGCACTTTTTTCAAACTGTTTTACATTTTTACTTATGGTCAAGTCTGTGAAAGTATCTGTCCTTTTCCCAATCATTTCAGGGGAAGTATTCATTTAAGTATGAATCAATCCAAAGTTCCTGTTAATTATTTTCATTGCTAATGGAATTTCTTTAGAAAAGGGGGAGAGAAGTGATAGGCAAACAGGAGAGGATGACAAACGGAAATATTTCTAATTCCCTCAACAAAGAACCTCTAAGACTGTCTAAGATTGCAGATGTACAACATAGTTCTTATTTAGAAACAAACGGAATTTAGCATGGGCTAAATTCAGAATGGGAGATGAATGAAAAAGAAACAACTCCAATGAAGACAATATCAGTGTCTCCTCTTCTTTACTTCTAGCCAGGAATGTAATATTTATTACAATTTATTTAATTATTTTAAATTTTACATTGTTGTTTTGCCTGTGTTTTTAAATAGGCTGTACACCGCCTTGAGTCCTTTGGGAGAAGGGTGGTATAGAAATAAAATTATTATTATTATTATTATTATTATTATTATTATTATTATTATTATTAATAATAATAATAATAATAATAACTCCTTGCCCATGTATTGAACCCCAGTAAACCCAATACCTTCTCCATCTGAAAAAGATAGTAATCAATGAAATCCTGCGGCTCATGCCAGGAGCTGGATTCCTTGTGTTTCTCTATTTCCTGCTTTATAAAGGAAATAATCGTTTTTGCGGCAGACATGGCTTCCTGGTGAGGGCCTGGGAGGTACGTCATTATTCGTGGAAAGTAATTATATATCTAATAGAAAAGGAAAAATTAGAGAAGCCTCTCAGCAGTTCACAGTAATAGACAAGATTTAATAACCAAAGAAAAACATTCCAAACACATTAAAACATGGCAAACAGTGCAGGGTGTTGGACCTCAAAAACCCTCTAGAAAAGCTTATAGAAATTCTTGTAGAAAACAGTAATTTTAAGAGGCAGATAGATTATTATAAAGCTATAAAGAGCCATGATGACGCGGTGATTAGAATGCAGTCCTGCAGGCTACTTCTGCTGATTGCCAGCTGCCAGCAATTTGGCAGTTCAATCCTGACTGGCTCAAGGTTGACTCAGCCTTCCATCCTTCCAAGGTCGGTAAAATGAGAACCCAGATTGTTGGGGGAATTATGCTGACTCTGTAAGCCATTTAGAGAGGGCAGTAAAGCACTGTCTATAAGCGGTCTATAAATCTAAGTGCTATTGCTATTATCAAATTCCCTTATCCTCTCATTGTCCACAGGAGCCTTTATAAATATGGTTACCCAGGGCTAACTGAACTGGGATTTAATAAATTAGATGGATTCACATGCCAGGCTAAATAATGAATTAACTACCTGGGTCAGATTTTCAGTCTGCTAGCTTTTTATCTAGTATGCTCAAGTCAGCACTTCATGGTCATCTTTTGGATCAAAAATGGGCATCTCTATTCATAGAAATTCAGATGCCGCAACTCTAGTACTATTTCACAAGATATTGAAGACTTGATCATTTCCGCAGATATTTGCATCAGATGGGTAGACAAACTCTTATTATTGATGCTCATTGTTTATCCTTGTGTGCTGGGGCATTAAGTCTGGTGAGTTTGTGTGTTTTAATCCTGTAAAACCCCTGAGCTACTTGTGTAAAATGAACAACTAAATAAATCATAAATAAACAAACAGATTCCTCTTATAGTTGAACCAATCTGCTCCAGGTATGACTGAACAGATAGCAGGTTCAAGCTCTGTTGCTTTTGTAAATTTTAAGTCATTTTCAAAGTTAAAATCCAAAAAAATAAAGAGCAAAATTAAGACAAAGACAAAAAGAATGTATATAAAGCAAAATATTAAGTATAAACATAAAATGTCCACCTGGCTGAATACTGATAAATCTATTTCAACAATGATAATCCCCAGACACACACTATCCACCTGGTTGAATATTGATGTCAAGTTTCGAGGTCGTCTCAAATAAATTGCATTTCAAACAAAGTCTTTGAAGAAAAAACTCCTATTTATTAAGCACGGCATTCTAACCTGACTCCAGTCGGAGCCAACACTGACTTCCAGCCCCCAAATCCTCCCTTTACGTTCCCCACTCCCCTGCACTCATTGGCCATCTTCCAAGTCATTCTACCCCTAATCTACTCCAGCTCAAAGGAATTTCCCCCTCCCCCTCCCATCTCCTAGGGGATATTATCTCCAGGGAAAATAAGTAGGTGAAAAGTCAAATGTCCCTTTCCAGACGCATTCGCTTCTCCTTCTTATGTCAGCACTGGAGTAAATGTAGGTTGAAGTGCTGACGTCTGATATATTTCAAGAATAATAATCTTCCCCAGGTTCACATAAACATCTACATCTATGCTTACTAAATTAGTAGATAACACTGAAAATATGACAGTTGTGAAATCTATTATCAACCAACCAATTTGACCCTACTGTCTATTTACTATAAAAAAAAAAGTTAACAAGTAATTCCAACCACAAAGCTAAACTTCAAATTCCTCTTTTAGTAATCTTTTATTGGCCCAATAAAATTGGTGCTTCTCCAAAAGGCAACTGGAGTTTCTTGGATTTTTTCCTTGACAATGTTTCACTTCTCATCTAAGAAGTTTCTTCAGTTTTGACGGAATGATGGGGAGTGGAAGGATTTATATTTTTTACAGTCATCTGAGCATTAGCTCTCTTAAAGTCATTAAGTCATTAGTGGAAGTTTAATCTGTATCTGTCTGGAACCTGCACTGCATATTGGACATTAATACAATTGAGCATGTCCAGAAATCTGCTCACAACAAAATACCTTATGCCATCAGTCTTGAAATTCTGGGCTTAGAAACCTTAGAATTATGGTGTTTTTGGTATGACCTAAGTGTAGTACATAAAATTATCTGCTACAATGTCCTACCTATCAATGACTACTTCAGCTTCAACCACAACAGTATACGAGCATAGTGTGGGCAAAAAACTTTTGCTATATGAGTGAATTAGAGAAATGGCAACAACTATGGAAAAGGAATTATAAATTAACAATGGCAACAGCATATACAGAAAATTTATATAAAATGTTTTATAGATGGCATATTCCACCAGAAAGATTAGCAAAAATGTTTAAAGACAAATCAGCTAAATGTTGGAAATGTCATCAGTCGCCAGGATCATATTATCATATGTGGTGGTCATGTAAGGAAGCAAAGAATTATTAGGTTAAAATACAAACATGGTTAAAAGGAATGCTACACCAGCGTATAGAGTTAAGGCCAGAGACATTTTTATTGGGAATTTTACTGGAGAAATGTGGAAAGAAGATACATATTTGATTATACATATAATGACAGTGGCTAGAATAGTGTTTGCACAAAACTGGAAAGCAGAAAAAATCCTGTTAGAAGGAGAGTTAATAAAGAAAATTTTAGAATGTGCAGAAATGAATAGAGTAACATTAAGAATAAAAGATAAAGAGGAATCGGTGTATTTCAAGACATGGAGACGTTTTTATGAGTGGTTAGAAAAGAAGTATGTGTCAGCGTCCCAGCACTGACATATAATAAAGGGAGGAGAAGCCTGAACTTTTGCCTACTAAATCCCTTTGAAGATTCTGTCTCCTCGGAGATGGGAGAGCGGGGGAGACATTCCTGTGATCTGACGAAGAAGGAATCAGGAAAGTGACTTGGAAGATAGCCAATGAGAAGCAGAGAATTGGGGATCGGAAAGGGAGGGATTGGGGGGCAAAGGTCAGTACTGACTGCAAAAGAGCCAGGATCAGATTGCTGTACTCGAATAAAGAGAAAATTTCCTTAAAGATCGGGAGTTTGGAAATTCATTTATTTTGAGATAGCATTGAAACCTGACAGTATGAATCAAAGATAGAGATTAATAAATTAGATAGGGTAAATGAGTAAATGAGAGAGAAGACAAAAAAGGAATAGAAACCCAGATGACACCGTGTAAATGGAAAAGGGGGAAGGAGGGAGGAAATGGAAAAAATGTTACCATATAAATGTACATTTATGATGATATGTGTGAAATCAGAAAAATTAAAAAGAAATTGAAAAGAAAATGTATATGAATAGAAAGTTGGGGTTGCTCGGATACCACTTTAGAAAATATTGAATTGAAAATGAATATAACAATGGAAAGAGAATGGAAAGAGGAGTAGAGGGATAGATAGGAGGGGAGAAGAGAGGATGGAGAGAGAGGAATAGAAGAAAGGGAAAAGGAGAAGAAGAAAGGGAGGGGATATAAGATTAGGAGAGAAGGTTAGAAAGGGAGGAAGAAAGGAGGAGTGGGGGAAAGGAAGGGGAAGGAGAGAAAGGGAAGGAGAGGAGGAAAGAAGAAAGTAGAAGAGGATAGAAGAAGGGAGGGAAGGGAAAGAGAGGAGAAGGAGAAGAAGGATTGTTGTAAAATAAGGGAGATGGAATGGTAGAAGAGCACCCCGAGTATACTCAATTTTTTTAGGATGAAGAATGAACTAATATGAAAGTTAAAAGAGAATATGTATGATTAACAATGGATAAGAGACTGTAGATTTATAACATGTTTATGATAAATAAAAAAAAATTAAAAAAAATAAAACCCAAACAATACACAAGCAAACAATAAATACAAACTTAAAGTGAACCGCTCCAAACTTGATTGCAGAAAATATGACTTCAGTAACAGAGTGATCAATGCCTGGAATGCACTACCTGACTCTGTGGTTTCTTCCCCAAACCCCCAAAATTTTAATCTAAGACTAACGACCTCACCCCATTCCTAAGAGGTCTGTAAGGGGCATGCATCAGCGTACCAGAATGCCTACCGTTCCTGTCCTAATGTCCCCTTTTATTCGTATCCATTTTATGTATTCAATTCATGCTTATACTTATATATATTATCTAATACGTACTTGACACATAAATAAATAAATAAATCTTCAGTCACCTGAATCAGAGTGGGTGGGGCCTTTTTGAGACTGCTGAAAGGATTGTGATAGGAGATAGGAGGTGTCGTAGCTCTCCTCCTCTGTTGAGGGAGGGCTATTCAACTTGAACATAGAAAAGATGACTCACCATATGGAAAGTGTCACTAACGACATCCACAACAACGTGCAATGCTTGCGCTAACTTCTTAAAGTTTTCATCTTCAGGAGGAAACTGACCTCCAAAACTCAAAGTAAATATGACGTTAGAAACTGCATTTAGTACTGGAAATGAAGGGTCAAATGGCTCTCCTGCAAATGAAGATATTTCATAATGAATTATTAAAGCACAGAACTTCTATAGGGATGAAGGAAGATCATTGGGATCTCAGTCACTTGTTTCAATTTTTTTAAAAAAAATCAAATCTATTTTTATTCAAAATACACAGAATGGGGAAAAAGTTCTGCAGACGGCGATTTGAGTCATTATTCCAAATTACAAACCTCTTGTTTGTCTAAACATCTCCACCAATGTCTGAGCTCTGTCTTGTAATAGATGCTCAATGCTTTTCTTCCCCAGGCCCAGCTTCCGCAGAGAAGCGATACCAAGGTGTCGCTGCTGTTTCCAGGTGTGGCCATTGGAAAGAAGAATTCCTGTGGGCATCAGCAGACAATGAGAAGTTACTCCTGATAACATTCATATGAAAAAACAGTTAGGTTTAGTTCTTGCCAAACATCTCTCTGGATTTCAGGCGGGAATACCAAACCTTTGTAACATGTTGTTATTTTGTAAGATTCCAGCTATGTCTTTTTTTTTTTCTTACATTTTCTCATTTATTCATTTTGGGAATCACATGGACACTGGGAGACACATGTGGTATGGTGACCATGGGTCCAGTGCTTGCCAGCCTCTATCTTATATGACGGACATCAAAAGCTTCTCAGATGATGTAAACATTCATGAAAGAGAACATATAGGCACAAGAGACAGGATCTTCTCGGGGGTGACAGAATCTATCTTCAACATACAAGATTGAAACTAACCAGCAAAATAAACAAATGGCATTTTTGTTCACCAAATTTAATTAAGTTACTATTGTGTTTTTCTGCTAATGGTTAAGTAAACTATTTCAGATTGCTTTTATATAAGCCATTGATAAATGAATGATAAATGATTCAACAGTATGTGGATCGAGAACTACCAGAAGCACATTTTCGAAGAGTCAGAGGAACTAGAGATCAAATTGCCAACATACGCTGGATCATGGAGAAAGCTAGGGAGTTAGAAAGCTAGAAAAACATCTACTTCTGCTTCATTGACTATGCTAAAGCCTTTGATTGTGTGGCTCACTCCTCGACTGATCGACTGGTTTCGAGCAGCAATAGATCTAGACGTGGGGCTACGAGAGTTTAGAGTACAGGGAGAAGGGAGCATGGGACAACAAAAAAGGCATATAGAATGGCCTCTGCCCCCAAGGGAGATAAAGACTGTAGCCATTGTTCCTGATTCTACTGACAGGGCCCGGAGGCCATCATTCCGTTGTTTTAGGTGAAACCAGATGGGACATTGGGTGGCAGAGTGTCCCATGCCAGTGCCATGAATGCTGGCTCCAAAACCATCTTCTGGTGGGGACAGGGCAAGAGGACAACCATGAGCAACACCAGAGCAGTCCCAACACCTGGCAGCATCCCCAGACGCAGACCTTGCTGGTGGATGCTGAGACAATAACCAGGGGGGTTGTGGTTACACCAAGCCCAGAGCAGTTCCCAGTGGTGTCTGGGGATAGTGACAATGAGGACCCAGAAGATCCGATGGTGAGTGACTCCATTCGGCCCTTTGTAATTCCTGTTGTCATCTGGAACCTTCGCTCTTCTCAAGGAATCGAATATGGGGCCCTGGTAGATTCAGGGTGCACATGTTGCCAGATCCGCCGTGCTGTGTTAACCGAACTTGAGGTCAGAACCATCAGGATGGAAACCTCTATCAAGTTTGAACAGATGGATGGCTCATTACTGGGGGGGGGGGCAACCACCTATTTAACCAAACAAGTCCAGTTAGAGATAGGGAACCATTGGGAAAGCATCCGATTCATTATAGTGGAAAGGATGATTGAGCTGATTATATTGGGGTTAGTGTGGCTTGACAAATGGGAGCCCATGATATGGTGGGAAGGGGGTTTCCGGAAACTACATTTGGCACTTGGCCCAAAGCCGTCTATGAACAACCAGATAAAAGAAGGAACAGGGGTGAGAGAAAAGCCAGTGATAGCTCCACCAGATCAAGGATTCCCTCGTATATACAGGGATTTGGCTGCTGTGTTCAGTGAAGAGGAGTGTGAGATGCTCCCCTCTCACAGGTCGACTGACTGTGCCAACGAATTGATCCTGGGGACCAAGCTGCCAAAACCCCATATGTACTCAATGACACTGAAAGAACTGGAGGAATTGAGATGATACATTGATAAAAACCTAGCAAGGAGTTTCATTAAACTCAGCAGGTTCAGGATTGCAGCACCTGTTCTCTCCAGAGAAAAGAAAAATGGGGGGGGGGGTTACGCTTGTGAATTGACTTCCATGGCCTCAACATTGTATGTGTGGAGCATCTGTACCCACTGCCATTAATGAAGGACTTGTTCGCTACTTTGGCAATAGGCTGTAGTTTCACAAAAGTTGACTTACGTGAAGCTTAATACAGGGTGTGGATCAAACCAGGGGACGAGTAGAAAACTGCTTTCAACTGTCCCCTGGGGGGTTACCAATTCCAGGTAATGCTGTTCAGGTTGCAGGGGGGCCCTGCGGTGTTCATACAGTTAATCAATGAAGTCCTGCATGAGAACTTGTACCGGGAGGTCCTTGTATACCTGAACGACATTTTGATCTATACCGGAATAATGGAGGAGCACACCCGTTTGGTTCGTCAAGTATTAGAAAAGTTACTAGCAGCCAAATTATTCGTGAAACTATCAAAATGCGAGTTTCACCGAACAAGATTGGATTATCTGGGATATAGAATATCGAGGGAAGGAGTCAAAATGGATCCCAGGAAAGTCCAGGCAGTGTTAGAATGGCAAGCCTCAAGGACTCAAAAACAGTTACAGAGCTTCCTCAGGTTTGCCTGAGATTTGGCTGTTGAAAAAGTGCAATTTGAAAATTAGAAAATGGCCTCAAAGCAAATAAAAATTGGCATTTCTAAAAGTGCTGGGGGATCACCAGCTAAATCATCTAAAATGCAGTCCTTGCTAACCCCAGGGGATACACAAACACTGACACTTGAAGCCCTTCAGGAGGCTTTAAAGGTACAAGCCTCTGTTTTAAAAGGAAAAATTACATCTGTTTTTGAGGAAAAAATTAAAGATGTGTCTGAGGAGATGGCTGAAATTAAGGAGATAATCCAAATTCAAAATAAAGAAATAAGAGAAGATATTGTTTTGGCGCTTCAGGGTCTGGAAGGCCATGTCGAATCGTTGGAGGAAAGGGTGGAAGAAATTAATCAGTCTAATGTGAATTTGGAGAATAAAATTGGCGAGGTTCAAACTAAGATGGAAAAGGCAGATGCAGAAGTCACAGTGATACAATATAGAGCGATGGAGTTTGCCCTGAGAGTAAGAGGTCTGAGAGAAAATAATCAAGAGAACTTGAGAGAGATTTTTGCAGAAGCTTTTGCTCAGCTAACTGGAGACTCAAAGGCAGAGTTTGAATGGCAAATAGATAAAATTTATCGTGTCAACTCGTGGATTGCCAGACAGAGACAACTACCAAGAGATTGTAATCTACTTTACTACTAGGAGGGCACAAAATGAAATTTTACAAGCTTCTTATAAAAATAAACTCCAAGTGGCAGGACAGGAGGTCTTAGTACTGAAAGAAATTCCACCAAAATGTTGAGAACTAGAAAGGATTATGCATTTCTAGTTGAAGAACTCAGAAATTGCCAGATGCAGTACAGATGGGAGGTTCCAGCTGGATTAGTGGTGAATCACTCAGGAAAAAGATATCATCTTAATACATTTTGGAAGGCAAGAGATTTCTACACCAATGTACTAAAGACTGGATGCCCACCATCCCCAGAAGTTAGAAGAAGAAAAGAAGCAGAGGAGGCAAGAAAGGGGGAGAAGGAAGGTACGCAGGCACAAGGTCAAGGAGGGGCCTCGATTACTCAAGAAGATTTACTGCAACTTTCGGGTACTGTTCAAGCTTTGGAATTACTTGAAAAAATAGAAGGACCAAAGGATCAAAGACAAACTTGAGCAGCAGCCAAACGCAAAGAACAAGAATTAAAGATACAGCAAACCCAGATAATAACTCAAGAAACTACAAATACAGAAGCAGTGGGAGGAGCAAGGCCAAAGAAGAAAATCCATGAGGACTTTCAGCTGACACTTCAGAAGCTTCAGGGGGCCAAGAATGGCAACTAGATTCTTAACTTGGAATATTAATGGCTTAAACTCACCGCAAAAGAGGAAGAAAATATTTCATTATCTGAAACAATTTAAAAATGATGTAATTTGTCTGCAAGAAACACATATCAGAACAAAAGACCAAAAATATTTGATAAACGCAAGATTGGGAACACACTTTGTTGCATCTGCTCCAGAGAAGAAAAGTGGTATAGTTATATATTTAAGGAAAGACTTAATGGCTAAATTAATTGAAGTAGATGCTCAAGGAAGATATATAGCAATTGAACTTTTAATAGAAGGGAAGAAAATACTTTTAACTGGAGTATATGTACCTAATCAACAAGAAAATTTTTATAAGCTTCTGCATACCAAATTAATACAATGGGATTATAAATCATGTATATTATTGGGTGACTGGAATGGAGTATTGGATACTAAAAAAGTCAAAAAAGGGCTCTTGCAAAACATCCAAATGCATGCTAGACTGCCTAAATCTTTTTTTGATATGATGGATGATATGGAGCTAAGAGATATTTGGTGAGAACGGAACGTTGAAGAACAAGATTTTACATTTTTTTCTGACAGGCACCAATCCTTTTCTAGAATTGATTTCATATTAATTACTAATGATTTTCTTTCTAGGGTAAAGAAGATGAAGATATGCCCAAGAACTTTAACAGACCATAACCCGGTTTGGATGGAATTGGAATATGGAAAGGGTTTTAGGAGGTCTTGGCGGTTAAATGAAAATTTATTTAGATATGAGGAAAATGTGAAAGAATGTAAAAAAATTAATGAAAGAATTTTTTGTTATGAATATGCACAAGGGTACATCCATGGAAATGGTTTGGGATGCAAGCAAAGCATACATGAGAGGTGTTTTAATATATCTGAACAATACATATAGACGCAGACAGGAGAAAAATGGATGGAATTAGAAGAGGAAATAAAAAAGAAAGAGCAGGCATTAATATTGAATCCAGCTGATAAGAAAATAAAAGAAGCAATTATCTTATTGTGAGGGCAGTTTAATATATTGATGTCAGATCAGGTTGCAACTAATTTGCAATATGCTAAACATAATACTTTTTGCAATGTGAATAAACCAGATAGATGGTTAGCATATATGTTAAGGAAAAAACAAAAGTCTCCTACTATAGAGAAAATAGAATATAAAGGTAAAGAGGTGTATCAACAAAATATGATTAAAAAGCATTTCTAGAATTTTATACGAGGTTATATGCTGGTGATAAA